CCGAGAGCAAACACGGGCAGGATGGAAATCTCACACGGCCGTGCGACCCTGGCCGTGTGGGAAGCCTGAATTTCGACTTAATGATACGCCGCGTTTTGACTCACACGGGCAACTGGGTGAGCCACACGGCCGTGTGGCCTGCCCGTGTGAGTCGGGAAATCTTGGTTTTTCAGCCAATTCCGAGCCAAAAGTGAGGAATCGGGATTTGCAGAGCAAAAACAGAGCCCTAGAGAGAGAAAGTGCGAAGAACACATCCTAGAAGCTATCTTGGAGCTGGATTTCGTCAAATCGAGCTTGGAGATCGTCATAGGAGTGGAAATCATCATCCCAGAGCAGATTTTCCTCATCTTTATGAGTATGACTACTCTGATTACTGTTTTCTTCTCTCTCTCTATGGAGTAGAACCCTTCTCTCACTTGGGTATGAAGAACCCTAGTTCCTTATGTTAGGGATTTGATTGTAATGACTTGGGATGATTATACTGTTTGGTTTTAATCGAATGATACATGTTTATTGAATCGATTGAAGTCTGATCAGCTTTTCTTGATTTCTGCTGCAACCTGAGATAGATAGAATCTGATTAGGTTGTTAGAGCCACTTCATTCGATAGTAGGAGATTGGTTATACGAGAGTTAGCCAGTTTACTGCTTTGTACTGTAATCCAATTCCACTAGTGGAGTTCTGTGCTCATAGCCTCAGCTTTCTATCCCGGTGAAGACTAGTCGTCTGCCGGGTAGTTAGACTGAGAGGGCTTGGTCAGCTTAAGAGATTCCAAGCTACTGTCGGATCTTCCGCAGTCTAATCAACAGCAAATCAACCCAGGGTAATTACAATTGAACCTAACTAAGGAGCTAGGGGGACTCATTCCCGAGTGACTCTTCCTTGCTTGAGAAAACCGAATAATTTCCTGCTTTCTTACTGCTTTTGCTTTAAACAACAATCAATCGAATTAGTTGGCTAGATAATAGATAATCACGGAGTAAGCAGTAGATCTAGACCCCGGGTTGATAATAGAACTTGCCTGTTACTGCATTCCCGGACTGCGATTACACTTGGTCGCAGTTTGGTGTTGTGTTTTGGCGTGTCACCCTACAGTTTTCAGTTTGAATTTTGCTTATAAAAGGCAGCCCCGAAAAACTCAAATTTTCTCTCCTCTCCTTCTTCTTCAAATTTCAGTTGTGCACGTTTAATTTTTTTTAGTTTTTGCGATTAACGTTAATTCGTAAGTTTGTTTTGTATTACTTTGCATTGTCATTTGTGATTTTTATGGTAGTAACTTAATTACAGTTTTATTGCAGATGGCATTCCAAAATTTCACGCTTGGGTTACAGTGGAATGGTTACACGGAAGAGACCGGAAAGGGGGTACGTTACGTCGGTGGTCATTTTTATAAAATGAAGGTCGCTACGAGACCGATGCTTGAAGAGCTCCATCAAATGTGTATTGAGGTTACCTGCATGGATGACACTAGAAGAGTTGATCGTATGGTGTATCGTTATCCAAACAGACTTGGAGGGTCGTTGTGGAATAAGGAATTCCTCATTACCACTCAGGAGGACGTTGATGCTATGGTCCAATTTTTGACCACCAATAACATTAAACAAGCGGAGATGTTCGTTTACACCGATGAGGTCGAAGGCGGTGTAGGTCATTTTGGAGATGGCCAAACATCTAGTATCCACAGTGGGGGTAGATTATACGAAGATCATCCCCACCAGGAGTACCAAGACCATCATTCATACCAAGAGTATCATGACAGAACTGGAGGTCATCATCAATCCTTCCCATCATATGAAGAAGAATCTAAACATGCGGATGGGAACCAATAAGAAGGCTACCAGTACCAACCCGAGTACAACTTTTACCAAGGCGGTGGTAGTTACCACAACTACCATTACTTGACACGCTAAAACACAACACCTAACAATGGCCAAGTGTAACCAATGAAAGGGACTGCAGTATAGTGGCACAAGTAATAAATATCGAATCCACGGGTCTCTAGAGTTACTATTACTCAGCTTCAGTTCATTATCTAGCAAACTAGATTAAGGATTGATTAACGAAACTACTCTACTAACTAAACTAAGTAAAACTACTAATTACAGTTTGGGAACTCACTTAGGTATGATTCCCCCTAGCTCCTCAATTAGGTCCAAGTTGCAATTACCTCTGGTTGATCTACTGTTGATTAAAATGCGGAAGATCCTAAATTAGCTTGGAATCTCTTAAGCTGACCAAGCCCTCTCAGTCCAACTACCCGGCAGACGACTAGTCTTCACCAGGATAGAAAGCTAAGGCTATGAACACAGAACTCCACTAGTGGAATGAATTCCAGTACAAAGCAGTGAATTGATTGACTCTCGCACAACCAATTCACCACTATCAATCAAGGAAGCTCTCTTAACCTAATCAAATTCTATCTATCATAGGTTAAAGCAGAAATCAAGAGAATTTGATCAAGATTTAATTGACTCAATAAATCATGCCTCAATCGATTATAATCAAACAATATAGCATCCAAAACTTCATACAAGAAAAATTCTAACACATGGAACTAGGGTTCCTCAAAACCTAAGTGAAGGGAAGTTACTCCATAGAGAAGAGAGAGACTGCAGAAATCTGATCTAGATCTTCAATCTCCATCCCCAAGCTTGATTCCTGAGCTCCAATGGCGAAGAAATTCTCCACAATAGCTCCAAGAATGCTCCAATCCCGTGATTCAAATGATGATATAACACAAAATCACAACTAATCAATCCATTACCCTGATCTATTAACCTTCAATTTTGAATCTCAACCAAAAATCCCAAATTGTAAACCCTAATCCCAAGTCTAGTGATCGCCAGCGGAGTAGATGCAAATAGATGCGTATTTACATTAGCCTTTGCCATTGTTGAGGGAGAGAATACCGACAGCTGTGGATGGTTCTTCAGACAAATTCAACTCCCTTTTATGGCGGTACTAACCGTGTGGCGCTCCATATGAAATGCTGCCAACCACTCATATTCGCAACAACTTTAGCTTGTGGAGTAGAGTCCACACAAATAACATCGCCATCGATGGGGAAATCGGTTAGGATGGCAACGTCCTTAAGTGTGATAGTGCACTCGCCTTCACAAAAATTGAAGTAATGTGTCTCCTTTCGCCATCTCTCTACCAATGTCGTGATGAGTTGGCGGTCGATCTTTATTCCATAAAAGTGCTTAATGGGATCCAATCTTGCCCTTCTTAGAAAGGACAAGATGACGTCGTTCCATGCGAGCACAGTCGTCGTACCCCTATAGCGAACTATATGTTATGCATCCTAGCGAATAATTTAACTTTCACTATAAGTTTATTATTTATACATATATAAATCTATTATAACAAACAATATCCATTAATGAAATCAAGGTTTTTTCCCAAGAAATATACATAATTTAAAAAACATTAATATTAAGCTAACTAAATTGAATACCAAATTTAAAATTTAAATAAAATTATTTTTGTACACATACAGATAAAATCAAATATATTATTTTGCACTTCGTATTGATTGTTTTCAATAATTTAAAGCAATACAAGTACACTCATAAGACTCTTAGGAGAGGTATACATCTCTTTAGAAACACAGCCTGTTTGACAGAAAAAGAGAGGATTCGAGGATCGCTTAGAACTCAATTTTCCCAGGAAATGGGAGGATCATGATGATCGCTTAAGACCCCATTTCCTTAGGCATGCATTTCCTTATAAAGAGTCTAATTAAGTGACACATTGTATTGATTTAAATTATTGAAAATAATCAATACGATTAACAATTAACAAATTTATTTTACAAACCAATAAATTATGTTAACTAAATAAAAATTACAAGTGATGATAAATAATATGTACCTTGTGGTCGTTCCAAACGTCATTGAACGATGATTATCTTGGTCGAATACAACAGTTGGATCAATCGGTACTTGATCAACATAATATCTTTGATTGTATATATCAACATTCTCCCCAACCTACGATAGCATAACAACAACATAAATCAATTAGTATATAGATTAAATAAATTCATTACAACAACAATAAAAATTAGGTAAAATGAGTCTGTATCGCTTGATAATCATCATAGTAAATACCCTCTTCTTCGGAAAAAAACGGCCATTTTTTCAGGAACCCGACAAAGTTTCGACGGTTTTTTAATGAAAAACCAAAGAATTTTTCTTTAGGGCATATCAAACTTAACCGCAACCAACAAACCACTATTTCTAAGGTTTTTGGGTGGAGAGCGGGATGGGTAGAGTGATAAACTTAGAGAGAGAGAGCATATTGGTTTTGGTGTGAAGAAAATGAGAGGAAGGGGTGGGTATTTATATGGTAAGGACCGCGTAGTGGGTGGGAGGGGGGTTGGTATTTTTACCCCACAAAAAACGCGCCCCCGCACACGGTTTGTTTTTCCCAAAGCCAAAACCGTGTCGTCGGGGAATGGTTATAAGGCTGAGACGCGGATCGCTCCGCTGGCAGGCAGTTAGCCGTCGGATCGCCTCTCAATCGCACGGTTGCATGGACTGCCACGTGGAAGAGCGGTTTTGCAGCTGCAACCGCCTGTTCCCTGCGCGGTTTGAAGGAGAACCGCGCCTTCGAGATGCAGTTTTTGATTAATGGTGGTAATTTTGGAATTTTGTTAAGTTGGTTGGTATTTTTGTAATTTTTTTTTGGGGAAGATGGGAGTATAACGTGATTAATTTCTTATAATGCTTCAGAGACATAAAAAATTAAAACATTCGTGGACGGCAGGATTCGAACCTGCGCGGGCAAAGCCCACATGATTTCTAGTCATGCCCGATAACCACTCCGGCACGTCCACTTATTGCTTATAAAGTTAGCCGTATTTTATATATAATATATAGCAGATCAACAAATCAAGCCGAAGCTTTGCCGAACTTTCTTAAAGCATTTGCATACTGTCCGCTCCCCCAGATCAACAATTCACACAATGAATTGGAAACAACCCACCAGATCCATCACTCCAATTTCATCAACCCAATGATATATTTTCAAAGCACTAGCACAGTAGCGCCCTCCTTGCTGGCCGGCCTCCCCCACGGAGGCATCCGGTCATCGGAGGAAAGATTAACAAGCGACTGACGTATATAACAGCGAAAGCTAAGAAAGGTGACCCATTTCATAAAGTGTTCACAATAAATTTATGTAGAATGATGACCTTCATATCGGCCTTACACCATAACCCCTAATCATCCAGTTCGAATACAGTAGGAGTTCAAGTTTTGACAAGTCAATCAACCCACATCCTTGAAAGGATTTATGGATTTCTTCTCCATATAGGACTGCGATAGAGAAAGCAGTAGCCGCATGCTCTGAAAGCCAGAAGAAAGTGGAGGACTTGTTTTGTCTGGAACAAACTAGTATCCTCCTGATATCCGTGCTGTGGAAAACTGGGTATCTAGTCACCTGCAATGATCTCAAAACAGTTTCAGTGAGGTCACTAGAGCAGCATGGTTTGAGGCCTGAAAGTTCAGCAATATGTAAAAAGAGTACTGGCGTGCAACTTCTGTGTAACTAAATGAAACAGATTACAGAATGCAGCATGCACCACATTCACTTTTGATATGCTCTTAATAAAAAAGGTCAGAGTGAATAGTTATTGAGTCACTGCTTGCAGTAGCCAAATACTGAGGCAGGGATGTTTGGGGCGATAAGTACAAAATAGGAAGACATACATAGAACATAAGCAGAAGGGAGTGACCTACACAGAGATGCTAAATTTGTAAGCACTTAAACTACAAAGTTGAATCAGAGCCTTACAAGTTGACAATGATAAATGAAGCGCCTAGTCTTATCAGTAAATGACCGGAATTTCAGAACCTTGATCTTTAGGCATGCTAAGCTCGAATAGTTCTCAAACCCCCTAATCTAATTCATCAACATGATTGAAAGAAATCAGGTCACAGAGTAGCAAATGAACATTGCCTTAGCGGATGCCAAATATCTCTTCTGGAGGATCATAAACATTCTTTTCAGGAAAGAGCTCTTCGTAATCTTGCTTCACTCTATTCCTCAAGAGTGGATGTGGCAGAAGGCCCTTCAATAAGATTCTGAAGGGCAACTCCTCCGGGGGATCCGGTGATTGCTTCATGTCTTCGTAGATGTTCATTGCATCAGCAGGGGATCCATCCCTCAAGAAACCCCTGATAACCTCAGTGTACATTTGAGAATCAGGAAACAGACCCTCGTCCCTCATAGACTGCCACAGCCGCATTGCTTCATCCATCTTATTGCCTTTCGTTAATGCAATTATCAGGTCCTTGTAGATAAACCGATCAGGCTTGTACCAGTCTTGCTTCTGTATTACTTGAAATATCTGCCGGTTCAATAAATCGTAGGGAAGCCAAGTCAGGAAACCCATTAATCAAGAAGATCGACAACAGCATTAAGAGCTTGACGCCTACCCGTACTTGCTCCATTACAAGTTAAAAAACAATTTGAACAAAGTCATTCAGGCATTTCGTCGAACTATACGCAGGCAATACTGACTTGTTCAGGCAAACACATCGAAATGTGCCCAAAAAGCACTAAATTTGAAGGGAAACAAGGGGATTGGATAAGTACGAAAGGACATTCAATACCTTGACCGCTAGAGAGACTTCTTCCTGGCGCTCAAGCTCGCATACGACAGCAACCATGTCCAGTTTCAGCAGCCTGTTAACATGCGATTTAATGAACTTGTCGATCTTTTCTTCGTCGTCCTTAAACCGCTTTAATCCTATAATCACAAAGAGCGCCTCTTTCCCAATCAGCTTCTTGCCTCTCCAGAGAGGGCCTCTAGGTCTCCCGTCGTGGTATTGCCTGAACCCGGAAAGTGAATTGGTAGTAGCATTCAAGTATAACGATGGAACTAGAGATTCTAAAGACGACGGGGTCTGTTTCGTCAAATTACACGGCAACTTCTGGAAGAGGAAAGCCGTCGCAGCTCGCGGGATTCTGGATCTCGAAAAGGCGCGAATCGCCATTAGAATACCTTGGCTTGGAGTGAGCTCTCCGCTAGCTGAGCGGCTACTTAGGGCGTTCAGGAACAAATTGCTCTCCGGTTTTTCTTTGGGAGTTGATAAACATGCTCTAAACAACAACAAAGTTACACTTTTAACCTTTTAACATCTTTACCTTTCCTTTAGCAAACAAACACCACCTTCACTTAGAAAGAAAAAACACTAATTCTCCCACACTCTTGAATTCATCGTCGACATTTGGAAGCCGAAATCGTCGAGCATACGTCCGAACAATGAGTAGCGACTCCGACGAGGTAAAAATCTCGTTTAAAAAAAAACCAAAAAACCTCAACCTAAAGTAATTTTCGGTTATGCCATGGACGAACCGAAAATCTGCTTCGTTTGGGTCATGGTTGAAACGAAAATTGGTTTCGCTTGATCCACGGTAGAACCGAACCCTTCCTTCGATTAAGCCACGGTAGAACCGCAAATTGGCTTCGATTAAGCCATGATGGAACCGAAAATTGGTTTCGGTTAAGCCATGGTGGAACCGAAAATTGTCTTCTGTTGGTGGATTTTGGATTTTTTTTAGTTTATATCAAATATTTCTATTCTTTTGTTATGATTTATAGTTTGGTCTATAAGATAGTTTGTTGAATTTTAGTTTATATTATTTTTTAAATTTATGAGCATAATTATTTGTGAAATTGAATGCTTTTGTATACAAAATTAAGATTAGATGTATAATACGCAAATAAAAAAATAGAAAAATCTAGAATATGATTAATATTATTCTTACACTAGATGTATAGTATGTAAATAATAGAGAATGCTAAATTTTGTCATGTTAAATGTTGGATTTTGCTTATGAGAATATAGAGAATGCTAAATTATTTGTGATAATTGTTAAATTAAATGTACTCGTTAGATTTTCTATTATTGTGGAGCCCTATTTATATCATGAGATCTAACATTGTAGGATATTGATGATTACGGAGGGGATGACAAAGATTACACCTTAGAATTTGTCAATGGAGTAAAATACGATACGGATTTGATTGCATATGTAGCAGGCTAGCAGCTACGGAGATTGCCAAGGGTTTTGGGTTTTATTTGGTGAAGGCATCAAATAAAAAAAATCCAAGTGAAGATAGTAGGCGACGATACTTGAAGTGCACTCATGGTAGGAAGAAAAAAATCAAAGGCTCCTGATTCTGATCCAGATAAGGAAAGGAGGCCTCTTACTTCTTCTGGAAAGCTGGGGTGTGAATTTCAAATCAAGATTGAGCGGTCAGATGATGGATATTGGTTGATACTAGCAGTGGCTAATACAAAGAATCCTTGTGCTAATTTGGGTTTTCACAATCATCCGCTGGAGCTATTTCCGAATGGATCAAGTAAGAGGAATGTTTTGACCAAAGATGATAAGCAATACATCAGACAACTGTCAACTGAGATTAGCCGGTGTCGCCCCAAGGAATATCCACAAGGCAGTGAACGAGAGAAAAGAGGAGCATGGAAAGGTAAACAAAAGACATATTTCTAACACATTGTATAAGATAAGAAAAGAAGAGTTTGGTTAGAGGACGGCCTTACAGTACACTTTTCAAGATGCTCGGGAGAAGGGTTACTATGTGCAGTATGTGGGTGACCGTAACATGCTTACACACTTGTTCCTAGCCCACCTTGAGTCATTATTGATGTTGCGAGCTTGACACCATGTCATCATGATAGATGCAACATACAAGACCAGCAAGTATGAGTTTCCGTGGGTTGAGATTGTTGGCATGACACCGGTGGGATTGAACTTTGTCATTGCATCTGCGCTAGTGTATGATGAGACAAAAGAGTCATACCAGTGGCTTCTCACGCATCTGCAACATTTGCTTGGCTCTATCACTCCAGATGTATTTGTCAGTGACAAAGCAGGAGGATTGGTTGAGACCGTGGGGGTAATGTTTCCATCATCGACTCATATACTATGCCTTTGGCATGTAGACAGGAATGTGTGAGCATGGTGTCTAACGGAGGTGAGGAGGACGTCTCATTGTGGGATAGATGCAGCCAAACCGATAGTGGATATGTTCATGGCATCTTGGAAAAGGATTGTATATGTCGAAAGTGAGGAAGGCATGAATAGAGCTTTAGACAGTTTCAGGCGTAGTTGGGGAGTACAGTATCCACGTCTTTGGAGGTACTTGTCAGTTGAGTGGTTACCAAACAAGCACATGTGGGCAATATGTTATACAAACCAAGTGCGACATTTGGGTAATACAAGCTCAAATTGGGTTGAATCTGCTCATGCATCCTTCAAGAAGTGGCTTCAAGCATCAACTGGTGCAATCGACACGGTTAGTCTCTTAATAATTTTTCATTTATGTCTTCTTTAGAAGTTTTACTTAATCTAGTATCCTAATTTTCTTTCTTTGTTTGTAGGTTTATAAGAAGAACCATGATTACATTGAGGCTCAACATCTTCAAATCCAAAAGCTTCTAGAGGATTCTAGATTAAAGAAGATGTTACTAGCGGACGGAAGACCATTTCGGGAGTTGCATACAAACGTCACTCTATAGGCTATGAGGTTGATGCTCATCGAGGTATCAGTGGAAGGAGCAAGTTGTACATGTACGTTTCCTGCTACCCTTGGTCTCCCATGTAGATGTGCAATGCAGTTAGCACGTTCTGAAAAGCGGGACATTGCCCCATATGAGGTGTTAGCTTTTTGGACCATTATGAACTATCGTGAATCTCCTACTCGGGCAGAGTGGGATGACCATAGTCTTTACCATCGTGATGTCTTCCAAAGTCTAGTACAGGAGGTTCTTGATAGGAGAGATGCGACCATTCGAGGGGCTATTGGCCTACTTCGGAGTCATCTTCATCCTGAAAATGATGGCATTGATGAGCCGCATGGGGGGCTATTGGCCTGCAAAGCGGTGACACACCCACGAGGAAGCACGAGGAGCATCTGGAGCCTGGAGAATCTGGATCGGACGGAAGAGTGGAAAATACTCATATATCCAAGCCTGAAGCAGAGTCAAACAACCACAAATACACTTACTCCCCACTCGTGTGGCCATCCCTAGTTGTCTGTAGAGATAGGTGAGTGCAGCAGCCTCCCAGACGTAACCGGCCACTCGTTGCTGGTCCTTCAGAAAACATTGATCGCAGGACGGAGGCGATCGCGAATCTTATCCACAAAAAGTGTGGATCCCAACAACACAAACAAGTAACACTGCACCTCCAGATCCCTAATCTTCATTTCTCGTCAACGCACCAACAATCCCTCTGCGTGTATACCACCATTAAGGAACCACTTCGTCTTCCACTTACCACCAACAAGACCATCCACCGGGACCCGAACTAGATCATGCATGTCTAACTTAAGAACATCCGGATGCGGATCATCTCTCATAAGCTCCACCTCAACTGGAATACGAAGAATGTAATCAACGTCATGGAGAAGAATCGACATCTCTCCAAATGGAATGTGGAAGGTGTTTGTGTCCGGCTGCCATCTCTCCACAAATGTCGTTATCAAAGCTGTATCTAAATGCTGCATCATACACCCTGCCAAGTGGGACAATCCTGTGCCCTCAACCACCTACTGAGAAACCTCTGAACTCGACTCATATCTCCTCAAAGACTCCACACTACCAGATCTATGACAACAATCCAACAACCCACGATCCTGCACAGGGGAAGTCCACAATGCAAAGGCTATGTGACAGGGATCACATCGGGAATCACAGGTCCACCTGAACACAGTTGAGACTCCGATGTCAGACGCCACGACATGTCTCCCTTACTCCCTTCTTCCTCTTCTTACCATCATCGTCTTCCTCACTACTACGTCTCGCAACGTAGCGTCCATCTAGCCCACGTTGCGGAAAGTGCGAAGAAGCATTAGAAGATGTCCCAACTTGTGTCTTCTTGCCGATGCCTACATCAGATTCAGGTGGGACATGCCCAACCTCATCAACAGCCACATCATCATCATCGTTCATAGAAACTGAATCACTCCAATTAGCCTTCCATGGCGTCGCATCCTCGGGAGTAGGGGTGGAGGTAGTACCTCGACTAAGAGATAACTGTCACATAGTAGGGCGACCGTCGGGACACCATATTTCTGCCTTCTTCTTCTTCTTCTTCCCCTTAACCTTATGTGGATTTTTTTCTTCATTTTCTTTTCTACCAGTCACTGTAAGTCTACAAGCACGACCTTCCATTCCTCCTTCCGTTTTTACTTCCATTCTTTTCTTATTCATGTACGACTTGCCTATTCCATGTCCAGACATCTTCAAAAAAAAAAAATTTACAATTAATGATAATCAAATGCATTAAAATTTTCTGGTAATTTTCTCTATTTTTTTTTGTAATTTTTGATAATTTATTACCATTAATTACAACTTTCTTAGTCATTTTTTCTAATTTCGGCTACTTTTTAATTTTCCCATTATTTCTAATATATTTTTAACATTAATTACAAAATTTCAGATTATATTTCTAAATTTTGATACTTTTTAAAAATTTCTGATAATTTCTAATAATTGTTTTTACATTATTCACAATATTTTTTCATAATTGAATTCATAAAACTATTCGAATATAATTTTTATAATCAATTATAAACTGTAAAACTTATTTATAATTAACTACAATTTATTTATAATTATTACTTAATTTAGAATATTTAATAACAATTTTTATTAATTAACTGCATTAAAATTATTTAAAAATCAAACCAACCGAAAATTGACCTCGGTTTGACCATGGCTCAACCGAACATTGAATTCGGTTTGACCATGACTCAACTGAAAATTGAATTCGGTTTGACCATGGCCCAACCGAAAGTTGACTTCGGTTTGACCGAAGGCCAACCGAACGGCGGCTTTGGTCGTTGAAGGGAGATGCAGGCGCCAGGCTTACCTTCTCCTGGGAGGACGGACGGCAGGCAACTGGAGGCGTGGCGGGAGGAGGGGCTGACGGCGACTGCGAGTGGAGGCTCGAGTGGAGGCGCGACGGACGTCGACTGCTGGCGCGGACGGCGACGACGAGTGCGGACTGACGGCAACTGGAGGCGCGACTGACTGGGACTGGAGGCTTTGCTCACGGCCACTGGAGACTCGGCCGTCGTGGCGGCGTGGGTTCTGTGCGGCGGCGTCTCTGCTGCCTGCTGGAAAATGTCGGGTAGAGGAAGTGTTTGGGAAGGGGGTTTGTTTGTTTAGGGTTTGATTTTGAATTTTAAAAAGGGTAATTCAGTAATTTACGTATTAAGTTAGGACGACGGTTAGTAATTTCTAGTGCGACCTTTAATCCTTTAGTTTTTCTTTGTCCCGGTCATTTTACCGTTGAAGACCATAATTAAGTTGTTCTTACAAATACGTACTTAGTCATATAAGAAATAAATAAACCCTCATGGGTCATAAAATTATGACTTTCAACTTTTTTAATACATAATTGTAGGGAAACCAATTGGCAAACATGGTTCAAGGTATGAAGGATGGTTAATATTGACTTTACATATATTCTCCCATAAGTAATTGCGATTCAGCTCAATTGTGGTTAGTTCCATGTTAGCAGAGGCGGAGGTCGCAGGGGGAGATCTAGATTGCAGAGGTTGTGCTCACTCGCGCAGGTGATATGGCCGGAACCATTCAGCTTGTATCGGTGGGTCGGCGCCTACAACAAATCAACGTGACTGGTTGGCTAGAAGTGACGAACGAGTACAGATCTAGTAGTGTTTTCTTCTTAGAGATTGTGTAGTAGATCTGATTATTGGGGTAGGAAAATCAATGGTGCTTTCTTCTCATATTTCTTCCTTAGTAGTATTTTTTCCCCCCCAATAATTGTGTAGTAGTGGTTTTCTTTCAATGCAACGTGATTGGGCAATAATATTAGTAGTGATTGTATAGTAAGTATTTTGTAATAGTGATTTTCATTATCCAGTAGTGATTTTACTAAAATTCGACGACGGCTACTACATAATAATCGGTAAAACACTACTAATTCAATTAAATTAACTAGTATATGCCACCAAAATAACTACTTAAAAATCAGTGAACACTACTAACTAGATTAAAATAACTAGACATAAGAATTGTATTTTTTCTAGTACTATTTTTCACGTAAAATATCTCTATAAGAGAGAAGAAAAGTATTAAATTTTAATTTATTTATCAAATTTAATTTCACGAAATACCGAATATACCCCTCATTAATTCCCATCATTAGATTTACTTAAAACTAATAAATGATGATTAAAGGGGTTAGTACGATGCTAACCCCTATCTAGTTAGCATTCTAACTCCTCCTATATGTGGGTTGTCAATATGTAGGTTTGTATGATAACTCATTCACATAAAAATAGGTTAAATTGCAGGTTTGGTCACTTGAATTACTAGAAAAGTTCACGTTAGCCACTAGAATTACTTTATTCCATCTGTAGTCACTTAAACTAGTTCAACAGTTCAAGTTTGGTCACTCTCCGTTAGTCTCCGTTAACTTTGGCTGATGTGGCAATCAACTCTGATATTTGACCGTCAAAATATATGACATGGCAATTAAAAAATAATAAAATAATAAAATTTAAACTTTTTACAATTTCCACCTCATTTTCAAATCTATTAAAAAGTAAACATTACATTTCTACTCGTCCTTCAATCGATTTGGGACTTTGTAATCTAGTTTAGACCTAGGGAAGAAGAAGGGAATGAGACTTGGGGGTTGTACATCAAGTACCCTTGTGAAAACAATTGGGTGGAGCTCGACTGAGATTCAGGGGAATAATTAGGGTAAAAAGAAGAAGAATAAGAAGGGGAAGGAGATGGTGAAGCACTTTTCAATTTGTTTTGGAAAACGTTTCACAAAAAGTATGTTTCTTGCCACACAAGTCATATATAAAAATCGACACATGCATAAACAACGCCCGAGCCAATAGAATTCACTATTTCTCCTTAAGGAATTTAGTTCCCCTCTACGGTACCCAAGGTTATTGGAACTATTCCTCCCAGGATAGAACGGACGTACCTTTTCTGGCTGTACCGGTACTTGAAACACCAGAATCCGACGAACGCAACGATCGGAGAGAAGTCACACGACTCTGTTTTTCCTTTATGAGTTTGTAGAGAGGAAATACAATGAAGAAAGAAAAATTCTTTATCTTTTGGCCAGAAAAAATTTCTTGGGAAAAATCTTGTGTAGAAAACAGAGGGGGTAGGTGTTTATTTATAGACAATGAAGGGGTGCGAGTGAAGGGATGTGACCCTTCAAGTGGGTGGTTACACCCCAACCATTGCAATGGTTCAGTGAAGGGATGTGACACTTCAAGTGGGTGGTTACACCCCAACCATTGCATCGGTTCGCCATAGTAGTTGGACCGGTTGGTTCATTCCAACCGCCACATCGGTTCGGTCCGATTCGGTTCAACTTGGTTTAACCAATAACTCACCAACTATTGGCTTCTTCCCCTTTCATTCTCATTCACACCTTTCAAATCCCAACAATCCCCCACATGAAAGAGAATGCTAAGTTTTGAAAACTATGCAAAAAACTGTGTGACTCTCAACTAAGAATTAGTTGTATTAGGATAGGTGGGTTTCCCTTTGAACCTTCCCTAGTGAACATATATCGAGTATACTCACCAATCGGTAGATATGATATCTTTGAACCGTCGGTTTTTCTTGTATACTAAGACAACATATGTCACACAACCAACTCGTATCCGTTCGTTGGTTCTCATTGTTGTGTTCGTTTCAGCCATGAACACCGCCTGGTTTCATGAATGCGTAGAGAATTGGCCTTCTTTTATTCTCCTTGAAGCGGCTCCACTTCACACTCACATAGGTGATTTCTAAACATGTATTCCAAAAATACACTATTTGCTCACAACACGTGTCAAACTTAGAAACCATTAAAAACCTTTCATATTTAGGTTTACCCTTATATTCTGGACATGGTCTCATCATGAGAATGGACTTTAAATAATTTGACAATGTCGGACCATCATTCACAACTTTGTTTGCTCCTTGAACCTAGAGGTTGGGTCTGCCAATCCTACTTAGGTAGAGTTACCGCCATGATGATTTTTCCTAGGCCACAGTCCCATTCCCCTCGATGACTTCTCAACTAATGCTCTAGTTAGGCCTTTAGTTAACGGATCCGACACGTTATCTTTTGATCTTACATAATCGATCGAGATAACTCCACTAGAGATTAATTGTCTCGCTGTGTTATGTCGTTGACGTATGTGAGGAGACTTTCCATTATACATAACACTTTTCACCCTTCCAATAGCCGCTTGACTATCACAGTGTATGCTTATTGGGGTTAACGGCTTGGGCCAAAACGGAACATCTTCCAAGAAGCTCCGAAGCCATTCCGCTTCTTCACCGGCTAAGTCCAAAGCTATGAAATCCGATTCCATTGTGGATCGGGCAATACAAGTCTGCTTGGAGGATCTCCAAGATACTGCTCCCCCACCAACCGTAAATACATATCCGCTAGTGGATTTGATTTCGGTTGAGCCGGTGATCCAATTTGCATCACAATATCCTTCAAGCACTG